AATAGTACATACAGCATGTATGTGGTTAGCAAGCATGAGGTCAACCCCAGCACAAAAACAAAATAAAAACTTCAGTGGATACATAAGAAACTTCAGGTAGTTGTGGTGGTGCTCCCCTGTAATTCTAGCTATTCAAGAGGCTGAGGCAGGAGGATTTTGTGAGTCCAAGAATTTAAGGCCAGCCTGGGTAACATGGAGTGATCCCAAGAARAGAAGAGATGATAAGTAAGTAAGTAAATAAATAAATAAGAAAAACAAAGAAAGAAAAGGATAGAAAAAACAAAAAGGATTTAAAAAAAAATCAGAAAGAAACAAAAGAGAAGAGCTGGGTAAAGTGACTATGCCGTAATTCCAGCTCCCTAGGAAGCCAAGGCAGGGCCATAAATTCAAGGACAGTCTCTGCAATTTATCAAGAACCTATCTCAAAAAATTTTTAAAAAAAGATCCCACACAAAAGATCCTGTAATCTCAGTGGCTCTGGAGGATGAAGCAGGAGGATCGAAAGTTCAAAGCCAGCCTCAGCAATTCAGCAAGGCCCTAGCCAACTCAGCAAGACCCTGTCTCTAAATAAAATATAAAAAAGGGCTGGGGATGTGGCTCAGTGTGCTAAGTGCCCCTGGGTTCAATCCCCAGTACCAAAAAAGAAAATTTTAAAAAGGAAAAGAAAAGGGGAAGAAACTTCATAGCAATACCTCTGTGAATAAATGGGAGATCTAGAGTTAGAAAAAAATTKCTTTCATGTTGATACTATTGGAATTGTTTACCATTAACATGCACTACTGGCGCTGGGGATGTGGCTCAGCAGTAGCGCGCTCGCCTGGCATGCGTGCGGCCCGGGTTCGATCCTCAGCACCATATACCAATAAAGATCTGTCTGCCGAGAACTAAGGTAAAAATGTAAAAAAAAAAAAAAAAAAAAAAAACATGCACTACTATAAAAAACTAAAGTTTTGAGGACCCTCAACACAAAGTTCTTCATGTCTACAACACAAAGTTCTTCATGATATCCCAGCAGTTATCTTTCAAGCTTCTTGCTCAAGTTATTCGTATATCCAGAACACCCTTCCATCAACCTAGTGTCTGTAAAATTCTCTCTCTTTTTTCTAAGACCAAGTCTGGTTAAATTGCCCAGGCTGGCCTGAAACTTGTAATCCCTCCCACTTCAGCCTGCCCAGTAGTGGAGTAATCGGAGTATACCATCACACCCCCAACTTACTGAATTCTCTTTTTTTTTTTTTAAAGAGAGAGTGAGAGAGGAGAGAGAGAGAGAGAGAGAGAGAGAGAGAATTTTTAATATTTATTTATTTTTTTTTTAGTTCTCGGGGGACACAACATCTTTGTTGGTATGTGGTGCTGAGGATCGAACCCGGGCYGCACGCATGCCAGAGGAGCGCGCTACCACTTGAGCCACATCCCCAGCCCTTGAATTCTCTTTTGAAATGGCCCAAATGGTAATTCTTCCTGGCTTCTCCATATAAAAGGAACCTCTTTTCTCTTTTGTGCCATATACAGAATTCCATCATGGCACTTACACCTCTGTTAGTCTCTCATATAATAGTTTATATTCGTTTAAAATGTCTGTGTCTGTCTCCTTCCACTAGCCTCAGATTCCCTGAGGACAGGAATTGTTTCTTATTTATCTTTGAATTTTCAGAGCCTGGTTATGAGATCAAAATTTCCAGGTGTGGCTTGGGCAAAATATTTCGAAAATGCTCCTCAGGTGATTTTAATTTAATCTGCTGTTAACAACTGCACTAAATGTAAACTTTTGGGAGTTGTATCCAGAGGCTCTTTACTATTGGGCTATACATCCCTAGCCCTTTTTAATTTTTTATTTTAGGACACAGCCTTGCTACATTGCCCAGGCTGGCTTTGAACTTGTGATCTTCATGCCTTAATGTAGGAATGCATCACCAAGCCCCACTAAAATGTTTTTTTTTTTTAATGTTTTTTTTTTTTAAATATTTATTTATTAGTTATTGGCGGACACAACATCTTTGTTTGTATGTGGTGCTGGAGGATCGAACCCGGGCTTGAGCCACATCCCCAGCCCCACCCCCACTAAAATGTTAACTCCTTGATCTCAGGAATGATCATGACTAGCACAATGTAGGTGCTCAATAAATGCTTTACTAAACTTAAGTAGACAAGTCTAAAGTTGAGGATGCAACTGGAGATTTGGAGGCATTAGGATATATAGGATAATATTTGAGTAAGGAGTGAGAGGAGTAAGGAAATAAGGAACTCTGTCACTGTAACTGCAGAAGACTCTCACTTCTATGTTTTTGCTACCAAAATGAATTCCTCAAGGGCAGGAATTCTGACCTATGCATCTCTACATACTTGACGCTGAGTACACTGCATAGTACAGATGAGGGGCTCAGTAACATTTTATTGAGTTCAGAGCCACTGATAGTAAAGGGAGATACAATATTTCATGGACACAAGGGAGAAAGTGATCAGCTTGGTGTACGAAGGCTGAATAAACTGAATTTCAGAGGGACAAGACAAGTTATGTGGCCGAAAAAAAACAATAACTTCCAAGAAGAGGTCACAGGAGGATCATAGATACTAGGTATGAAAGTGTATAATGCAGATACACCCTTTCCCTGTGACTGTGAGTCAAACGCAAGACATAAATGTCACGTTTTTAGAAAATGAGGCTGCGAAGGTCTGAAACAGATTATGAAAGGCCCCTTATGCCACCTAAGAATTTACTCCTGTGAATGGCCAAAACGGAGCCTTAAAGTTAACGTTAAACAACAAGTTTAACTTTTTTTTTTTTTTAAAGGTACTGGTGTCAGTATGAAAGGCAGAATAAATAATTGAGAGACTCAAGAGATGGAGCTGAATTAGTGACAAAAAGTCTGGTTGACAAACTTTCCACCCAGGAGAAAAGGGAGAGGGAACGTAATTCATTCTTTTTWAAAAATTCGAGATTTAAATCAAGCGGCCTGTGAACTCCGACCCCTGATGACCATCAGGCCTCTCACGTTTCTTCGAGTCTGAACGGGATGTGGAGTTCCGAAGTGAAAACCCAAAGGAACATTCTGCTCTACTTTCAGGGCTCCAAGCCCCTAGTCATCACAGTCCCACCCACTGGGAGCCCAAGGTGTGCAAAGCAGCGTGGGAGGGGTGCAGTGAGAGTTCACCACCGCGCCTGGAACCGCGGAGGCGAGCCCGCGAAGGCGCAGGGTAGGAATGCGCGTGCGCGCTTAGAGACGCGTCCAGCCCTCGGCCTTTAAACCCGGTGGCGGGAACTGGGACTCGGCGCCTCCCAAGCCTGTCCCCGCGATTTCGAAAGGACCTCAGTCCACCCAGAACCCTTTTGCCACACACACTCACCCGCTCTCGCGGGTCCTCCGGAGCCTCTCAGACCCAGCTGCCCTCAGGCCCTGGACTACAACATTTCCCGCCACCAGACACAGGAGACCGGTCCCCGCCTGCGTGGGGCGCGGGGCGGGGCGAGGCGGGCTGGTCCACTGACTCCGAGCGAATGGGGAGAAGGGAATGGTTGGTGACGAAGTAAGGAAAAGGGAAGCGAGTAAAAGGACTGTTTTATCCGAATATGTTCCCTACATTGACTTAAAAGTCACAACGCTATGAATAGTCTCTGAATTATAATAATAACCAAGTTCAGATTAGAGATAAATTCACATTTTCCCCTTCGGGTCAAGTGGACTATTCCAAAGTCATCAGGTTAGTTGGAAAAGTTACATTTTATTTGGGAGGAAGTGGAGGTACCCGCCGAAATTAAAGTTGTCTGTCATACTGTAGGCATAAGTCTAACAAGTATGCAAGAGGTTTATAAAAGGAAGAAATCAACAATAAATATTCATTATTCAGTTGAGGATCTCTTCCAGCCTCTGCTGATACAGTGTATTTTGCCAATGAATTGAAAGAAGATGGGGCTGAAAAGAAAGGTTATCTCCTTAAGTATTACTCATTTGAATACAAGGAATGAGTTTCTGGGTTATGAGGGAGGGTTAGCTATGAGATGAAAGGACAGATGAGAGAAAAGTTAAAAGATACATACAAAAAGAAAAAAAGACTATGGAGCTAGTAGTGATAAAAGCAGAAAGATTCCATTTGGACAGTGTTTTGATTTGTTTTGAATAAGCTAAATCTCCGAAAGTCAAAGCCTCTCCCTTCTTGTCATAGACTCCTTCCCCTATGTTTCTCCAGGCATAAAATTTCCTGTTTTGCCTTTAGGAAATAATTTTGGGGCTTAAGTTCCATCTGCCAGGGCATGTCAAATGGACTCCTTAAGCTGCCTAATTTTTCTAGATTCTAGGCTTGCCCACCTGCTATTTAGGTTGGGAGCTCCCTGGCCCAGGACCTCCAAGGAGATCCATTATGCCAGAATGAACACACAACCCAGCCAGTGGATRTAGACAGGTTTATGTGGTTTTACAGAGCAGCCCAAGTCCCAGTGTTCACTTTTCTCAGAGCTACTTCCCCACCCAAGTCCCTGGGGCAAGCATCCCTGAGATAAGTAAGCTACATTCTCCTATTATCTTCATTAAAACTTTTAGGTAAACTTTCATAGTGATCTGGGGCTAATACCTCCATTTCCTCTCCTACCCACCTACCTTGAGTCCTTTCTCCCAACCCTTGGAATACTCTGTCTAYTTTCTCCATCTGTCTCTGGGAGGAGTAATCTCTCTGCTTACCTGTTCCCTCAGAAATCAGGAGCCATACATTTGACTGCAAGCAGGGTAAAGGCCAGAAATTAAGGTCGGTTCCCTGTACTCATCACACCAGGCTGGGGGAAGGACATATACGTTGACACCTTTTCCCTTACCTAGCTCTCATGCCCCAAAACTCAGACACAGCCACACTCACCTACATTCATACACACAATCATGCACACACGGCGAAGGGAAGTGGGATGGGGAGGAAGGGAAGTTTGTACCAACCAGCTCATGAATGCAACTTGAAAGATTTCACACAGCAAAAGAAAAAAAAAACACACACACACACATAAGTTAAAAAATAAAGAAGTACATGCCCCTCCCCACAGTTTTTTTCTTCATCTAGGGGCTGTCTCAGCCCCTCCACAGAAACCCAGAAGCTTTCTACTCCCTCACTCCATCTGGAGCTTTTACAGAGCCTGGGTCTTCAGTTCAACAGGTTCCCCTGTGCCCTCTGGTTGTCCATTGGAGTCACTGGGTCTGACACCCTTGAGGATAGACAGTCTCTCAGAAACACTCTTGAGCCGGGGGAAGAGAAGAAAGTCGTAGAGAAGGCTGCCCAGACCCCCTCCAATGATYGGGCCCACCCAGTACACCTGTAGGGAAAGAAAAGGAAGTCTTAAGTTTGAGGAGGGGACTGAGCAGCAAGGATGCTCTTTTTCTAACCCTCTTAGTTAAAAAGAAGATATCTTGAACTTGTCACATGCAATTGGGCAGRTATTGTCTAAATAAAAATCAGTGTGGGTTTTTGTTGTTGTTTGTTTGTTTGTCTGTATGCTTGCAGTGCTAGGGATTAGAAATCATAACTCTACTTTTTGTGACAGGCTGACTTCACACTGTACCACTGAGCTACATCCCCAGCCTTGATGTAAACTATAGACCCTACTTCCCACTGTCTRTATTTCAAAATGTATCATTTCTTTTTTTTTCTGATCATTTTTTAAATTATTTTTTATTTTTATTTTTTGTGGTACAGGGGATTGAACTCAGGGTGATCTACCACTGAGCTATGACCCAGGCCTTTTTTAAAATTTTATTTTGAGACAGGGTCTTACTAAATTGCCCAGACTAACCTTACAATCCTACTGCCTTCTCCAAGTTGTGGGGATTACCAGCATGTGCCTCTGTGCCTTGCTATCCCATACCTTCTTAGCACATGTATATTTTATTTGTTGTTATCAATTTTTGCTGGTTTATACATTTCTTTCAAGAAAGTTTTGTAGATTGTAGTAAAATATACTTTATAACATAAATTTACCTTTATTACAAACTTTTAAACATGCAGTTTAGTAGTGTTAACTGTTTTCATTCCCAGAGTTGTTCAACCCATTTCCAGAATATTTCATCTTGTAAAATTGAAACTCTATAGCTATTGAACAACAACTACTATTCCCCTACCCTATACCCTGGCAAACAACTACCCTTCTACTTTCTGTTTCTATAAATTTGAGTTTCTACCTCATGTAAGTGGAACTATTTAGGATTAGTCTTTTTGTGACAGACTGACTTCACTTTCACATAATGTCCTCAAGGTTCATCCATGTTGTAGCATGTGTCAGAATTTCCTTTCTTTTTAAGGCTGAATAATGTTCCGTGTATGTAAGTCCAATAGGGTTGCTTCCATCTCTTGGCTATTGTGAATAATGTTGCCATGAAATGAAAAAACAACTTTGAAGTTTTTAAAAACTATTTTCATATGTTTGGCTTGCATATGGCCAAAACAACATAAACAACCAATATTTATTAGAGACTTACTCCATTTTCAGATTCTGTGCTAATGTTTCATGCATATAACTTTCACACTTATTGCTCATAACATCTCATTTTACAGTTATAGAAACTAAGGTACAGATGATTATTTGCCCAGGGTCACACACAAGACTAGTAAAGTATTAGAACTGGAAATAGGCCCACAGCCATTTGTGCTCACACACATACTGATATCTGAGAGCAGAATTTATTGTCTTCATATTTAGTTCTCTATCCTATATTCTCTAGTTTGGGCATCTGATGGATACTAAGTAAAAAACAAACAAACAACAACAACAACAACAAGTCTATCCAGAGAAAGAACAATGAGCAAGAGCATTTTTTTTTTTTTGGCAAGAGCTTTTTATGAGATATGATCTCACTGTTTTGTCCAGGTTGGTCTCAAACTTCTGGGCTCAGGATCCTCCTGTCTCAGCCTCCTGAGTGCTGGGACTATAGGTATATGACACCATGTCCATTAGCCTCTCTTTCTAGCAAAATAATGCAACCTGTTCACATATACATGCCATGCTCTCAGATAGCTCCTTAATTGAGTGTTGATAGAGAAGCTAACACAACCAGATGGAAAGCAGAAACCAAATCTGGAATCTGCAATCCAGCCCCATCCAGGAGGGCTCTAGGATCTTGTCCTTCTCCCCTCACTCACCCAGTGGTTGGTGAAGTTCCTGGTGAGAATGGCAGGAGCAAAGGAACGGGCAGGATTCATGCCTGCACCAGTATAATACATCTGCAAAAGACAAGTTGTAACTGAGACACACCCCCTTCCACCCAGCTTTTCTCCTCATAGCCCATATTGCCCCTCAGAGCTGGTAATCTCGTGTCCAGCCAGCAGCAAGTGGGGAAGGACAAACTACATAACTCTTCAGGGGGTTCCACAGTGGGTGAGGGCACTGATGCCCTATCTGGGGTATACTATAGACCAATAGGCAAAGCCTAAGTTGAACTATGATGCGTGCATGCATTTCTTACCAAGGGTCAAGAAGAACTAGGTATAGCAATCACAAGAGAGGGATAGGGCAGGGTTAATTCCTGTGTGCCAAATGATATAGAGTAAGATGAATAACGTTCCTATTTGAGTGGGCAGGAAGAACACCTAAAAGTTGGGAAAGGTTTGGGGGCCCTGGTATCCTTGAATGAGAAGTTGCTCCCCTTTCCTGCTTACCCCAAAGAGGTGCCCCAGAGTGAGGGAGAAGCCAACGGCCAGGGCCACGGAGCCCAGGCGACCATTTCGCCTCTCGTCGTATGTGGCAAAGATGCAGAGCACGAACTGGAGCGTCAGGAAGATCTCCACTGTGGTGGCCTGGCCCACACTCACCCCAGGGTGCAACTGGGCAAAGGAAGAAGAAGGGAGGCAGCTCATTAGGGCTGCCATAGCATTACCTCCTCAAGGCTTTCAGGTAGAGATCCCCTCTGGCATCAGTTACCTGGAGAGGAAGGATATACAACCCCCTTCACAGCAATTGTATCTGTAAATTCTCCTGACAATACACCTTTATGGTAGAAATGATTGTACCCACTTACATGGATGAGGAAATTGAGGCCCCAAAAGGTAAAATAAGTTTCCTTAAGACCTTGACAGAAGTTGGAAGGAAAGATGAAATTTGAACTCAGCTTGTTCTCTTTCTTTTGTTCTTTTTTCTTTTTTGTGATTATGGGGATCAAATCCAGGGCCTCATACCTCACACATGCTAAGTAAGCATTCTACCACTAAATTGTATCCTCTGCCCTCAGGTTTCTTGATTCTCAGTCCAGGGCTCTATGCCTTCCTTACCCCTCCAAGCCACCTGTTGATCTTCCCCGTCCTGAAACACACACACATACAAACGTGCACACACCCACATGTTGTACCATGCAGGGAGTCAGGACACGAGATGCCCCCAGCCCTTCCCAGTCAACCATTACCGTGTTGAGCGCTAGGTTTCCTCGGACAGCAGGCGGGGTGACACTATACAGCACAGCAGCCCCAGCCACGGCTCCCAGGAGTTGGGCTGCCATATAGCAGAAGGCACGGAGCAGGGACATCTGGGAGCCCACAAGGAAGGCAAAAGTGACTGCAGGATTGACATGGGCTCCACTAATGTGGCCCACTGCTTGCACCAGTGTAGCCAGGGCCAGACCAAAAGCCAGGGCCACCTGAAGGACATGCAGGGGTCCAGGGGTCCAACGTAGTGAGGCCCCCAGCCCAAAGAAGACGTAGAAGAGGGTAGCAAAGAACTCGGCAAATATGGCCCTCCAGAAGGAGGCAGACCGCAGTTCCCACATGGCAGAGGGGATGGGCAAAGCACCTGGGTCCCGGACACCCCCCTGATCTTGTCTGGGTGGATAGTCCCCTTTATAGAGGACTCTTAATCCCTGGGAGGGGCAGACTGAGGCAGCTGGCCCTGCCTCTTAACCCCTTCACAGCTGTAGAGGGTTTAATCCATTCCCATACATCTGATAGAGCTGCTGGATTTTTCCTTCCCTTCTCAACTGGAGATGAGCTGAGAGAACCACAGGGATGAGGCTCATGGATGGGGGACTAGAAGAGTCTGTCCTTCTATCTGCGTCAAAGTTGGGGTTCACAGTCATGATTAACATCTGTATTAGAACATTCCTCCAATCCCCTTGGAAGGTCTGTCAAGCTGAGTTCACTTTGTGTGGGTTATGGGGCTATGCTCTTGGGGACCTCAGATTCCTCTTAGACTACTGGGGGTAAGGGTGGGGGTGGGGGCAAGGAGTGGGGTTCAGCAGGGAAGTTGGATAACTGAAGAGAATTCTTTAGTTCCCTGGGATTACAGGGCCTTCTCCCATTGGCTGGTTTGGGCTGGAATCTGTGGACCCTGCAGCTCTGGGACAGAATAGTTCTGCTGTGTYTGGCTTTCTCCGAGCCCAGGTTCCCTACCCCCAACCCATGCCAGCACCTTCTTTTCCAAACTCTCAGCCTGGTCTTTTAGACCATAGAGACAGACGAGGAAAGAAGCTGTCCTTTGAGCATAGGCTGGGAGTGGGGTTTGGGGTCTAGGATGAGGAAAGGGGTTAATAGTAAAACCTCACAATCAGCTTGTACAAGGCAGAGTAGGAAGTGGTGAACAGAAGGAACCCAAATCATGGCTATGAAACCATGTGAGGGTCTAATGTTTTCTAATATAGCCATAATCGGGACACTGGGGTCCTAAACCTTGGTCCCCTGGGAAAGGTATAGGGATGAGGAAACAGAATCTGGGGAAAGAGGCTGGTCAAGGACAATATGGGGAAGGAAAGTTTGGGGAGACAAGTCAAACTGTGCTCAAACTTGGTGAGGGATTTGGGACCTAGGGGAGGGGCCATGTAGTTGGAGAAGGTGAAATAGGATACTCCAATAGGCTCATCACCTTTACTTAGTGGTGAGTTATGCAGGTCACTAACTTTTCCTGTGAAGTACCAGAGAACAGAACTTTGAAGGTGAGGCCTGCAAAGATGATACCAGGCGTGAGTCCCATGCAATGTACCTGTGGGGAGAGAAGAGGAACATAATCAGGATCTGTGCTTCTCTCCTCCAGTATCCAGCTTGTGGRTAGATAAGATAGTTACAGGAAAGTCCAAAGGTCCCTCTAACCATCCACTGGAAGGAAAAGTTGCCAAGATCAGAGGGCATCCAAAGACTGGCCCTCCTGATTTCATGGAAAAGGAGTCTATCAGCAGTCCTTAGAGTCTCTTGCATTTTAGAAGCCCCACCAATCTTCTAACTTCAAGCCCCATATTCTTTGCTGCACCTTACCCAGTTTCCCAGTCACCACTGCTGTCTGCAGGGAGTGCACAGGGTTTGGAATGCCTCCAGAAAAGGTACCAAACAGAAAAGTGGGTAGCACATCATGGCCTTAAGAGTAGAGACTTCAGCAGGGTGCAGTGGCAAAGCCTATAATCCCGGTGACTCAAGAGGCTGAGGCAGGAGGATTGTGAGTTCAAAGCTAGCCTCAGCAACTTAGCAAGGCCCTAAGTAATTTAAGGAGACCTGTCTCAAATAAAATAAAATAAAAGGCTGGGGATGTGGCTCAATTAAAATACAAATATATCCCTTGGTTCCAATGCCTAGTACCAAAATATAACAAGAATAGAGACTTGGGGCTGGGGTTGTGCCTCAGTGGTAGATCACTTGCACTGAGTTTGATCCTCAGCACCACATAAAAACAAATAAATAAACAAATATATTGTGTCTATCTACAACTAAAATTTTATTTAAAAGAAAAAAAAGAGTAGAGACTTTGGCGACAGCTATTTTGGTGCAGATGTAGGTAAGAATCCAAAATGATGGAACCAGTTATGACAATTAGCGGGAGTGTAAATTGGGGTAATCACTTTGGATAGATAGCACCACTGAATAAATTCAAGCAAACACATATTTACTGACTCAGGAATATCACTTATATACCTAGGAGAAGATTTTCTATAAATACTCCAAAAAACACATACAAAAATGTTTATAATAGCAATATTCACAATGGCAAAAAAACTAAAAGCAACCCAAATCAATGGAGAATGAAGAGATAAACAATGGTATAGTCACATGAAGGGATATTACTCATCAACATGAATGAATCACCATAGTGACACTTAATAATAGTGATGAATTCTATCAATAAAATAAATTTTAAATTTTTCAGAAAATTATACTTGCCATTATAACCTTTTTATAAATTTTGATTGTAGATGGAAACAATACCTTTAATTAATTTACTTATTTTTATGTGGTGCTGGAGATCAAACTCAGTGCCTTACACTGCTAGCCAAGTGCTCAACCACTGAGCTATGATCCCAACYGCATGATAACCTTTTATTTTGGGGTTAAAAACAACTAAAATACAAATATGTTCCTCAGGATACGGATGAGATAAAACTATACAAAAATGATATAAGTATGAGAGCAGGATTCAGGATGATGCTTACCTTGGTTTAGAGGAAAGACACGGGAACCCAGGGGCGCTTAATCATTGAGCCACATTGCCAGCCCTTTTAAAAAAGATTTTATTTAGAGGCAAGGTGTTGTTTGAGTTGCTGACCTTGAACTTATGATCCTCCTGCCTCAGCCTCCTGAGCCGCTGCGATTATAGGCATGCACTACTATGCCTGACCTAAACATTATTAAAAATAAATAAGGCTGCCAGGCACGTTAGCACACACACCTGTAATCCTAGCAATTTGGGTGGCTGAGACAGGAGGATCACAAGTTTCAGGTCCACCTCAGCAACTTCATGAGGCCTGCCTCAAAATAAAAAGGGATAGGGATGTAGCTCAGGGGTAAAGTACTGCTGAGTTCAATTCCCAGTATCGCAAAAACAAAAAAAAAAAAAACAAACAAACAAAAAAAAATGGGGCTGGGGTAGCTCAGTGGTAGTGCGCCTGGCTGGCATGCACAAGGTTCAATCCTAAGTACTGCAAAAATAACTATCTATTGCCCTAAAAAATATATATATAGGTAAGTCGGGCCACATATGTGCTAATGAGGAGGGATATCATAAACAAAGAAATATTCTGTTTACCCAAAATTTATAAAGAAGAGCAGTGCTAACAACAATCCTTGCTTTATCACTTTCTAGTTAGGCAAGTTATCCCAACTAGATATAAGCTTCAGGACAGCAGAGACCATACTGGATCTCTTCACCACTGCAAACCTGGTGCTTGACATACTAGAAAGCAGAAAATAAAAATTTGTTGAATCAAGCTGGAGGACTCAGCACCTGGGGAGGCTGAGGCAGGAGGATCACAAGTTCAAGACCAGCCTCAGCAATTTAGTGAGACCCTGTCTCAAAATACAAAAATTAAAAGGACTGGGAATATAGTTCAGTGGTAAAGTTCTCCTGGGTTCAATCCCAGAACAAGAAAAAAAATTGTTGAATCAATTTAATGTAAACTCTCAGCCTCAGTTTCCTCTGGATCAAATAAGATAAAGTAGGTAAAGAGTCTAGTATTGTCCCTGGCTAAAGTACTTAGGGAATCATTTAACAAGGGTTTAATTAACAGGAAGGGGTGATCTCACCAACCTTGTAGCCTCTTTTTTTTCACCCTTGATACTGGGGATTGAACTGAGGGGGTGCTTTATCACTGAGCCATATCCCTAATCCTTTTTATTTTGAGACAGGGTCTCTCTAAGTTGCCAAGGCTAGTCTCCAACTTGGGATCCTAATGCCTCAGCCTGTCAATTCTCAGCTTCCACAGGTTCTCATGAAAAGGAACAGGCTAAAAAAAAAAAAAAAAAAAAAAAAAAAAGAACAGGTTGGGTACAGTGGGTACTACCACACCTGTAATCCCAGTGACTGAGGAGGCTGAGGCAGAAGAATTGCAAATTCAAGGCCAACCTCAACAATTTAGTGAAACCCTGTCTCAAAATAAAAACAAAAAATAAAAAGGGTGGGAAGGGCTGGGGATGTAATTCAGTGGTAAAGCATCCCTAGGTATGATCCCCAGTACTACAAAAAAAAAAAAAAAAAAAGGACAAAGGGCAGCTAGTTCCTCACCTTGTAGACACCAACTTAAATGACTAGATTTCTTTATTTGGAGCTATGAAACTTTCTACTTTATCCTTATTAAATGCTGATAAGAAGCCCGTGGAGAACTAAGCCTCAGCCACTTCCTTTCACATTCATCACCCCATTTAGCTGAATACAAGTCTCTTTCAAACCTAACTGAAGATGAAAATCAAAAGCTTACTCAAGGGACTGGGTCTGTAGCTCAGTGGCAGAGCACTTGCCTAGCATGTGTGAGGCACTGGGATTGATCCTCAGCACCACATTTAAAAAAATAAATAAATAAAGGCGTGCTGTCCATCTACAACTATATATAAAAAAATAAATAAATAAAAATAAAGCTTACTTGAGTTTTGCATAGATTTACATATAATTACTGTGATTTTCTATTAACATGACCTTTCTAAAAACAGCAAAACAAAACAAACAAACAAAATAGGTTGTATATCTTTTGAAAAGTAGAATCCAGCTTTGCCCAAGCCCCTGCTTGATATGGTTGGGGTTTTTTACCAATGCCATTGCTCCTCCAGTCACAGAGAAACCCACCATCATGCTGCCTGGCCCATCTGTTTCCCATCGCTGCTGGAAGCCACAGTAAACATGATGAGTACCAGCTGGAAAGTGGAGAAAAACTCAATGCTGGAGTCTGGTCTGAATGACTCTTTCTGCTCACCTGTGAGACCAGAGATGCTAGGACTAGGGGTAAGAGGACACATAACCCTTTTACTGCCCATCGGGCACCGAAGTTCCAGGATGTTGCTATTGGGAGTACTTGGAGTAGTGGTGARGCCTTGTGAGAGATCTTTATT